AAATTTGATAAACTTGGGGAATTATGCTTCCGCAAAGTTAGCAATCTCGGCGATTTCGCCAACTTTGAGCCCTATTCTCGGCCAATTCCATTGTTCCAGTCAACCAAACTCGTATCTGTTTCTTCAGAACCCCATTTTTTCTATCAAATGAGTAAAAGAAACCATCCATTTACTGATTTCAATTACCCAATAAAGTGGTCAGAAATTGGCAATTTGGCCAGTTTCACACAAATTAAAATTTTTTTTTTTATTATCACACCGGCCGATTCCCACCAAGGCAGGGTGGCCCGAAAAAGAAAAACTTTCACCATCATTCACTCCATCACTGTCTTGCCAGAAGGGTGCTTTACACTACAGTTTTTAAACTGCAACATTAACACCCCTCCTTCAGAGTGCAGGCACTGTACTTCCCATCTCCAGGACTCAAGTCCGGCCTGCCGGTTTCCCTGAATCCCTTCATAAATGTTACTTTGCTCACACTCCAACAGCACGTCAAGTATTAAAAACCATTTGTCTCCATTCACTCCTATCAAACACGCTCACGCATGCCTGCTGGAAGTCCAAGCCCCTCGCACACAAAACCTCCTTTACCCCCCCCCTCCAACCCTTCCTAGGCCGACCTACCCGCCCCCTTCCTTCCACTACAGACTGATACACTCTTGAAGTCATTCTGTTTCGCTCCATTCTCTCTACATGTCCGAACCACCTCAACAACCCTCCTCAGCCCTCTGGACAACAGTTTTGGTAATCCCGCACCTCCTCCTAACTTCCAAACTACGAATTCTCTGCATTATATTTCACACCACACATTGCCCTCAGACATGACATCTCCACTGCCTCCAGCCTTCTCCTCGCTGCAACATTCATCAACCCACGCTTCACACCCATATAAGAGCGTTGGTAAAACTATACTCTCATACATTCCCCTCTTTGCCTCCAAGGACAAAGTTCTTTGTCTCCACAGACTCCTAAGTGCACCACTCACTCTTTTTCCCTCATCAATTCTATGATTCACCTCATCTTTCATAGACCCATCCGCTGACACGTCCACTCCCAAATATCTGAATACGTTCACCTCCTCCATACTCTCTCCCTCCAATCTGATATTCAATCTTTCATCACCTAATCTTTTTGTTATCCTCATAACCTTACTCTTTCCTGTATTCACCTTTAATTTTCTTCTTTTGCACACCCTACCAAATTCATCACCAATCTCTGCAACTTCTCTTCAGAATCTCCAAGAGCACAGTGTCATCAGCAAAGAGCAGCTGTGACAACTCCCACTTTGTGTGTGATTCTTTATCTTTTAACTCCACGCCTCTTGCCAAGACCCTCGCATTTACTTCTCTTACAACCCCATCTATTAATATATTAAACAACCACGGTGACATCACACATCCTTGTCTAAGGCCTACTTTTACTGGGAAAAAATTCCCCTCTTTCCTACATACTCTAACTTGAGCCTCACTATCCTCGTAAAAAACTCTTCACTGCTTTCAGTAACCTACCTCCTACACCATACACTTGCAACATCTGCCACATTGCCCCCTATCCACCCTGTCATACGCCTTTTCCAAATCCATAAATGCCACAAAGACCTCTTTAGCCTTATCTAAATACTGTTCACTTATATGTTTCACTGTAAACACCTGGTCCACACACCCCCTACCTTTCCTAAAGCCTCCTTGTTCATCTGCTATCCTATTCTCCGTCTTACTCTTAATTCTTTCAATTTTAACTCTACCATACACTTTACCAGGTACACTCAACAGACTTATCCCCCTATAATTTTTGCACTCTCTTTTATCCCCTTTGCCTTTATACAAAGGAACTATGCATGCTCTCTGCCAATCCCTAGGTACCTTACCCTCTTCCATACATTTATTAAATAATTGCACCAACCACTCCCAAAACTATATCCCCACCTGCTTTTAACATTTCTATCTTTATCCCATCAATCCCGGCTGCCTTACCCCCTTTCATTTTACCTACTGCCTCACGAACTTCCCCACACTCACAACTGACTCTTCCTCACTCCTACAAGATGTTATTCCTCCTTGCCCTATACACGAAATCACAGCTTCCCTATCTTCATCAACATTTAACAATTCCTCAAAATATTCCTTCCATCTTCCCAATACCTCTAACTCTCCATTTAATAACTCTCCTCTCCTATTTTTAACTGACAAATCCATTTGTTCTCTAGGCTTTCTTAACTTGTTAATCTCACTCCAAAAACTTTTTCTTATTTTCACAAAATTTGTTGATAACATCTCACCCACTCTCTCATTTGCTCTCTTTTTACATTGCTTCACCACTCTCTTAACTTCTCTCTTTTTCTCCATATACTCTTCCCTCCTTGCATCACTTCTACTTTGTAAAAACTTCTCATATGCTAACTTTTTCTCCCTTACTACTCTCTTTACATCATCATTCCACCAATCGCTCCTCTTCCCTCCTGCACCCACTTTCCTGTAACCACAAACTTCTGCTGAACACTCTAACACTACATTTTTAAACCTACCCCATACCTCTTCGACCCCATTGCCTATGCTCTCATTAGCCCATCTATCCTCCAATAGCTGTTTATATCTTACCCTAACTGCCTCCTCTTTTAGTTTATAAACCTTTACCTCTCTCTTCCCTGATGCTTCTATTCTCCTTGTATCCCATCTACCTTTTACTCTCAGTGTAGCTACAACTAGAAAGTGATCTGATATATCTGTGGCCCCTCTATAAACATGTACATCCTGAAGTCTACTCAACAGTCTTTTATCTACCAATACATAATCCAACAAACTACTGTCATTTCGCCCTACATCATATCGTGTATACTTATTTATCCTCTTTTTCTTAAAATATGTATTACCTATAACTAAACCCCTTTCTATACAAAGTTCAATCAAAGGGCTCCCATTATCATTTACAACCTGGCACCCCAAACTTACCTACCACACCCTCTCTAAAAGTTTCTCCTACTTTAGCATTCAAGTCCCCTACCACAATTACTCTCTCACTTGGTTCAAAGGCTCCTATACATTCACTTAACATCTCCCAAAATCTCTCTCTCTCCTCTGCATTCCTCTCTTCTCCAGGTGCATACACGCTTATTATGACCCACTTCTCGCATCCAACCTTTACTTTAATCCACATAATTCTTGAATTTACACATTCATATTCTCTTTTCTCCTTCCATAACTGATCATTTAACATTACTGCTACCCCTTCCTTTGCTCTAACTCTCTCAGATACTCCAGATTTAATCCCATTTATTTCCCCCCACTGAAACTCTCCTACCCCTTCAGCTTTGTTTCGCTTAGGGCCAGGACATCCAACTTCTTTTCATTCATAACATCAGCAATCATCTGTTTCTTGTCATCCGCACTACATCCACGCACATTTAAGCAACCCAGTTTTATAAAGTTTTTCTTCTCTTTTTTAGTAATTGTATACAGGAGAAGGGGTTACTAGCCCATTGCTCCCGGCATTTTAGTCGCCTCATACGACACGCATGGCTTACGGAGGAAAGATTCTTTTCCACTTCCCCATGGACAATAGAAGAAATAAAAAGAACAAGAGCTATTTAGAAAAAGGAGAAAAACCTAGATGTATGTATATATATATATATGCATGTGCGTGTCTATGAAGTGTGACCAAAGTGTAAGTAGGAGTAGCAAGATATCCCTGTTATCTTAGCGTGTTTATGAGACAGAAAAAGAAACCAGCAATCCTACCATCATGCAAAACAGTTACAGGTTTTTGTTTCACAGTCATCTGGCAGGACGGTAGTACTTCCCTGGGTGGTTGCTGTCTACCAAATAAAAATGCAGACATTCCTGGCACTAAAATAACATATCCTCTGTTCATTAGTCACATCTCCAGGCCCCTCTTATATTACTCTTGCTTTCTATTTTGATTTTTTATTTGCACAAAAAATAGAAGATTTACTGTTATGCAGACTACTGCATTATTTTAAAAATGGTATAAATAATATCAGTGCGCTAGTGAAAGAATATTAGACTCCCCAGTTGACGTGCATTGGACATGTGTGATTTGCTTACTCTTGATCATTGGTAAAAATCGAACATTTCTGCTTCTTTGAGGCCAATTTCAAGGTCGTTTTTATCATGAAACTAATCAAAATCATCTCTGTCTGTAATATGTTTTCCATTTTATCACGTGAGACCATGAAAACGAGAATACGTACAACGATAAATACTATACGAAAATACACCTCAGTCGGCGTTTTAATCCAAAAAAAATGGTCTTTTTTTTCTCATTATGCACTGTGTGCTGCAGGATTTTTTTTATGTAGTGCACACTGGCCACACAGACCCATTCTCTACCAGCTTTCTCCCGCTTGATTTGAAGCCGCTAGAATTTACGCGTATAAATACGTCCAAAACAGTGGCACATGAGACGTATATATACGACCGAAACAGTCAAAGGGTTAATGAAGAGCATTGTATGTGTACTTCATTAAAATATTAAATACATTATAACTGTATTTCTATATTCTCTACAGTATCATGAGAAATTTCCACAGCAGAGTTGGCTTCATGATTGCCTGTACAGTAACTAGTTTCAGGATTGATGAGGGCACCTAGAGGCTGCCTTTGCTATGTTTTTAGTCCTGGTCAGCCACTATTACATCAATCTTACTTTTGATTAGATGGGCACAAGTGCATGGTAATACATGAACATTGGCAATTATCAGTTTCTTGCCTCCAACTTTTATTCTCAATCAGATATTTTTCTTAAAACTGGCACCCTCTTTTTACATGCCTCAGCTTGTCATTCACTACAGCCACACCTTAAGTTCTTAATTTGATACTCCTGCTTTTAGTGTTAGTCCTTGGAAATCAATGTATTAAAATTTAAGTTACTCTCCTCTTATATGCATTTTGCATTCACATATTCTAACAGTTCACTGTTATGATTTCTTAGCTTTACTTACCAATTAACAGAAATGCCACAGTTTGAACTATTTATTTTTGCAGTGAGACAATGGATGTTGTGAAACAGTCTGCTGCACTCTGCCTTTTACGTTTGTTTCGAACAACTCAAGAAATTATTCCTGGTGGAGAATGGACGTCTCGTATCATCCACCTGCTCAATGACCAACACATGGGTGTTGTGACTGCAGCATGCTCTCTTATTGAGGCCCTAGTTAAGAAAAATCCTGATGAATATAAGGGTTGTGTCTCTCTTGCCGTTTCTAGGCTCTCCAGAGTAAGTGTTCCATGTTATACATAGTTTAGATATAATGTGCTGTATACTGTGTAGTTGCAGGGGTAGCTGCAGGGGTGGATTGAAGTGTGGATTGAAGTGTGGATGTGAATGTGGGGGGGGGTGAATGTGGGGGTACAGGTGTGAGGGGGGGGTATGAAGGAGTGAGAGTATTTGTAGTTACTGGAGCAGAGTGATGATAGTGGTCCTCTAGTCAAGTTTAATTGATAAATTTTTGAAGATTTCAACAGTTGCAGAACATTTTCTCTTGGATCCTATTCCCGTGTTTTACCACTTGTGAAGACAACTTTCCAATATTTTTGACATTGTTTTATTTATCGCTTTACAATAGTGGACATTTATTTATCTAGTTGGTACTGTACTTAGTCTTTTTTTTTTTTTTCTTGATTTATCTTTAATGGTAGTGCATGTGATGTCTCACTTTTCCTTCTGTTCACTGGTGAAAACAGTTTTAATTTCAGTCTTTTCCTAATTGATATTTCTTAGCTCTGTCATCCATTTTGCATTATGTCTGTTCTTTATCTACATTTTGTTTCAGGTGCATACACCACAATGCTATTTATATTTTGATCTAAACATATATTGTGGATGGCTTTGTTTAATTGTTTGTAATGAATCTTTGCTGAAGCTGCTAAGTTTGCAGCATGAATAGCTTTTTTTTTTCTAGCATGTTCCCATTAATATATTTGTCTTCGTATCTATTGAGTCTGGATTTCATTTGTGTGATCTTACAATAAAATTCAATTTCTCCTAGATCTCTCTTGCTAATGCTTTCTGTATTACAATCACTTTTTGAGTTGCCTGTTATTGCTCTCTCAAATTTCCTCTACGCTGCATTTACATTGTATTCCATCATCCGTCATTCCATTTTCTCAGTTTATGAAAGTCTTCTTGGATAGATTTAAATAGGTATCCCTAAAGAGGTACCTGTGAGAGGTTGCTTGAATTTTTTTTGTGACTCCAATATATATATATATTTTTTTTTTTTTTTTAATACTAAACTCAAACATGTCATCCAGTTGGCTTAAAATTTTCAATTTGGAACAATTGGCATGTTCAAATGCCTTATGACCAAAGTTGTAGAAACCATTCTCAGCATCCTCAAAGGCTCGAATAACATTTAAAGAGGTCAGTGAAGTAGTTTAATTTAAAAAAGCGGTAAAATATTTGATAGTGGAGAGTGAAATTCAAGTGTGTAGGTGCATATTTGACCATTACGTATGTAAAATAGCATGAAATTATTTTTGTTCTTTTTAACATGTCGGGCGTTTTCCACTGAGGCAAGGTGACCCAAAGAGAAAGAAACTTTCATCATTCAACACTTTGACTATCACTCATACATAATCACTGTCTTTGCAGAGGTGCTCAGATAGGACAGTTTAGCTGGCCCTCCAAACTGCCACTATCCCAAACCCCTCCTTTAAAGTGCAGGCATCGTACTTCCCATTCCCAGGACTCAAGTCCAGCTAACTGGTTTCCTTGAATCCCTTCACAAAATACAGTGGACCCCCAGTTTACGATATTATTTCATTCCAGAAGTATGTTCAGGTGCCATTACTGACCAAATTTGTTTCCATAAGGAATATTGTGAATTAGATAAGTCCATTTCAGACCCCCAAACATACACATACAAACGCACTTACATAAATACACTTACATAATTGGTCGCATTGGGAGCTGATTGTAAACCGGGGGTCCACTGTATTACCCTGCTCACACTCCAACAGCTCATCAGGTCCCAGAAACCATTTGTCTCCATTCACTCCTATCTAACACGCTCATGCACGCTTGGTGGAAATCCAAGCCCATTGTGCACAAAACCTCCTTTACTCCCTCCCTTCAACCTTTCCTTTCTGACACCTGCCCCACCTTCCCTCTACTACAGATTTATACACTCTTGAAGTCATTCTATTTTGTTCCAGCCTCTCTACTTGTCGGAACCACCTCACCAACCCCTCCTCAGTCCTCTGGATAATAATTTTGGTAATCCTGCACTTCCTCCTAATTTCCAAACTACAAATTCTCTGCATTATATTCACACCACACATTGCCCTCAGACAACATCTCCACTGCCTCCAGCCTTCTAATTGTTGCAACGTTCACCACCCTTGCTTCACACCCATATAAGTGTAGACAGCCTGTACTGTCTGCATAGACAGCCTATGCTGTCTGCCAACTGAGCTCATATTTCGTGCCATGCTCATGCTGCCACCTATAGGCCTATGCCACTTAAGTATGCCCAGACCTGCCTCTACCTCACTTTCTCAGTGGCCTTCACTCAGTCAACAAGGCCTACTCCTCTCTCCCTCGCTGGGCATGGCCATCCCGGGCCATGGGCACTTGACACACTGCCTGTGTACCCCACAAAATTGCAAGTAAAGTAAGAAGCCTCCAAAGCCTTATCATTGAAGCCCGCTCTGCAGGAACGACCAATAATCTGGTACACATAAGAGTGTTGGTATAACTATACACCTACCCTCTGACTTACGACCTTCTTGACATAGACCACTCGACTTACGACCATGTTTTGTATACAGGTGTTCTGGGAAATAAACAACAGTTTGTGTTAGACAGTGTTTCTCCTAAGCCTTTGAGTATAAAATACAGTACTAACAGCATAAAAAGTAAAGAAAAAAATAAAAATCCCAAAAAAAATAAAAAACAAAAATAAAATCATTACATAACATGGGGTAAATTTTCAGTCAAGGTTCACTTGTCCTTTTTGACTTACCGACTGGTTATCGAACCCAAAGTCAGTGTAGGTAGGTGCTTTTGTACTTTTTCCCTTTGCTTCCATGGACAAATTTTCCCTGTCTCCACAGACCCTCATTCACCACTCCCCTTTTTTTTTCCTTCATCCATTCTGTGATTCACCTCATTTTTTCGAACCCATCTGCTGACACGCCCCTTCCTAAAGATCTAACATTAAACCTCCTCCATACTTATCCCCAAATCTGATATCAAATTTTTTCATTACCATTTTTTTTTTGTATCCTCATCACCTTTTTCTTCCTATATTCACTATAAAATCCTTTTTTTACAACCCTCCCAAACTCATCCCCAACTTCTGCCCTTCTCTTCAGAATTCCCAAGGCACATTTCATCAGCAAAGGCCTGGACAACCTCCATTTGGTTAGATTCTTTTTTTAAACCCCACACCTTTTGCCAACACCCAGCATTCACTTCTTTTAAAAAACCCCTATTTTTAAAATTATTTTGAACAACCATGGGACATCACACATCCTTGTCAAAGGGCCCCTACTTTTCTGGAAATAATCCCCCTCTCCTCAACTCAACCTGGCCTCACATCCTCAAAAAATTTTGCACTGCTTCAATAACCCCCTTTCCATTCCATACATTTGCAACATCTCCCAAAATATTGCCCCCTATGCACTCTCATATCCTTTTCCAAATCCATAAATGCCACATTTATTGCAAAAAAGAAAAAAAAATTTGGATTTGTTGAAATTCCATGTATGACGAAAAATGACTCCGGGCTTCAACTTTTGGGCCATGGTGTGGTTTTTTGAATACTAGGCACGTACTGCTGTGAGTGACATGATTCCCAATTTTGCCATGAAAACCCTTCAATAACAAAAGAAGCATCGTTTGGGCATCAACATATTATTGATGCTTTTGTATAAAGGGATTAATATCCCATAAGTAAATTTGAATAGGTCCCATTTGAAATTTTACTGACATACGTATTAAAAACTTGGAAGGATCATGTACTGGTAGTCTTTTCTGATTGCTTTAAAACCTTTACCTTTGGGCTTTTTTAAAATGGCTTGTCACTGACTTTGCAAATTTAATTTGCCCAGTTTACTAAGCAAATTGTTTATCATGAAAAAAACTAAAAGAAGGCCGTCTTATTAGCTTAAACCCTATAGTTGTTGAAAATAAAAAAAGTTTTGGATGAGATTAACAATTAAGAAAGCCTAGAGAACAAAAGGATTGTCAGTTAAAAATAGGAAGGAGAGTTATTAAAAGGGAGGGGAGGTATTGGGAAGATGGAAAGGGAAATTTTGGGAATTGTTAAATGTGATGAAGATAGGGAAGCGTGATTTCGTGATAGGGCAAGGAGGAAAACATCTTGTAGGGGTGAGGGAAGAGCCAGTTTGGTGTGGGGGAAGTTCGTGAGGCAGTAGGAAAAAGAAAGGGGGGGAAGGCAGCCCGGGATTGATGGGATAAAAAAGAAATGTTTTTAAAACAGGTGGGGATTAGTTTTGGGGTGGTTGGTGCAATTATTTAATAAATGTATGGAAAGGGTAAGGTACCTAGGATTGGCAAGAGGGATGCATAGTTCCTTTGATAAAGGCAAAGGGGATAAAAGAAGGGGCAAAAATTATGGGGGATAATCTGTTGATGTACCTGGAAAGTGATGGTAGAGTTATAATTGAAAGAATTAAGAGTAAGGGGAGAAAGGGTAGCAGATGAACAAAGGAGGTTTAGGAAAGGGAGGGGGTGTGTGGGGCCAGGTTTTAAGTGAAACATATAAGGGAACGAAGATGGCCCCAAAAGGGGGCCCAAATTTTTTAAAAAACTTAGCCCGGGGGGTGGGGGGCAATTCAAAAGTCAGGAGGGGGAGGGGTTTTAGGGAAAACAGGAAAACGGGATAGTGGGCCCCCCAATTTGAAGGGAAAAAAAGGGAAATTTTTTCCCCCAAAAAGTGGGCCTGACGGATGGGATGTCAACCGTGTTTTAAATATTTAAGATTTTTAAGAATAAAAGCGAGGGTTTGGGAAGGGCGGGGTTAAAAGAAAAGAAACACACACAAATGGGAGTTTTACACGCCTTTGCCGATACACTGGCCTTGGGGAATTCTGAAGAGAATTGCAGATTGGGGAGAATTTTGGGGAGGGTGTGCAAAGAAAAAAATTAAAGGGGAATACAGGAAAGAGTAAGGGTTTTGAGGGGTAACAAAAGATTAGGATGAAAGATTTAATATCAATTGGAGGGAGAGTATGGAGGAGGTTAACGTA